GGATAGAAGTAGTCTTAGAGAAGTCTGAGGTTTAATCAAGCTATACGAGGCCCCTAAACACTAAACCCTAAACTGAGGCTGGAGTGCAGAGAGAGAAAAGGGAACAGGGCCAATTGAGGCATAATCTTAATTCCTTATATATAAATATAGATGTGTCTATATGAAGATGATGGGGGTGATTAAGGGGGATACTAGGAGTTTAGGCTATGGCTCAATTGGTTGAAGAGAAAGTACAGTATTGCTGGCGAAAACCCCCTTGCCTCTTTCCAGTATGAATGTGACGGGCCACTTTTCAACTGTAATCTGGAGACGTGCCAAGTGTAAGTATGCGAGGAAGATTAGGAAGCTCCCTAAACGCTAATCGAAACCCAGGGGCCCTTCTCGAAGGACAGTTTTCTTTACAACGCCTTTTTTCTTTCAGATTTCACGCTAGTTTGGCAGACCTATTTCCCTTTTCTTGTATGTGTCTGGGAAGGGGGCAGGCTTGTCACGTTGTGACCAGAAGGAACTGCTGGTTGCTCTTGTTCTTGGCCTTGGAGCTTCAGGATGAACGTGTTTTGTGAAGACTTTGAGTTTCCGGTGTTGGATTCTGGGGTCTTGGGGGTGAACTTCTCAACAGTCTCAGTTGTTTGCATTCGGTTTTTGCAGTTTGTGACTCATACCTTGTGGACCAGGCTTGCGAGCGATTCTTCCCGATTTGATTGGGGTGAGAGTCTTGCACCTGTGAAGCTGTTGCTTCAGTTGGGCGCGAGACATAGATCGAACAATTCGGCTTCCAATCAAGCAACTGCAAGGACCATCATGAATAACTGCACCTCCGTGCTGCATACTTGACTGGCAGGTGGCCCAGCAATCTCTAAGAGTTGGACCACTATGAAAACAATGCCGATTGCAAAGCAGTTCTGAATAGTCTGTTGCTTGTTTCTTGATCTTATGGTTTAGTGTGTTTGTCAGAACCAAGTGTTCGATTTGGAAAACGACAGCCGAGCTAGCACACAGTTTGCTTTTCGGGGCCTCCGTATCCTAAGAATCCTGGTGACATAGAGTTTCTCAGAATGCAAGATGGTTGCACACACTTTTGAGACACCTGATTCGCGACTCTTCAGATGCAGACCCTGAAGCCCAGCATGACTCTAAACCCCGAAGCTCCAAACCCTAAACCCTACACGCTAAACCCTAAAGCCTGAACCCTGAATCCTGAACCCGTCGCGTGGAACGCAGCCGTCTGGGTAGGCTCGATATACACGTAACTTGAGCAGTTAGTTGAGCAGCTATCGCTACCGCGACGATGGCTGCGCAATATGTCGTCAAACGCGATGGGTCGCATCAGGAGGTGACCTTGCTTCGCTAAGCCCCAGGGTTATGTGGGGTTATGTGGGGGCTGTATGGGGATATATAGGGCTATATAGGGTTATGTAGGGGTTGTATAGGGGGATATATATATATATAGGGGTTGTATCAGGATATATACTCCTTGTTAACACCAGCCCTTCTGCTAGGTACACCTCTATCTTCTGTTATGCAGCGCCATATTCATCATCTGGTTCCCCGTTGGACCGTTGCGAAACATGAGGCTTTTCCATGCCTAATGGGTTTTCAAGCATACTGAACCCTAAGCCCTAGCTTCCTTGGTTCAAGGGACCAGCATGAGAAGCCTATAATATTCCGTACATATTCCCTAGCTTCCATTTCATTTTCGATCTGATTCTCCATTATCCCCTATATAACCCCAATATAGAGTGGTGATCTGCACAGCTTAGTGGTTGTACCCTGTAGTTGGCTTCTTGCTTTGGAGCTTCGTGTCATGTTCCCAAGTCTGAAGCCCCTGCCAACAATTGAGCAGTGCTTGAAGTCGTAATGTGGTGATGTGTGGTGAGCTCAAACATGCGGAGAGAGATTTCTAGGACTCCAAGTAGAAGTCACGGGGACTTCTGGAAGGACCCTGCTGCAAATTACACGCTGTAGAACTTTATGCAGGAAGCAGTGCAAGGCCTTCAGAAACTCTGTTCTGCTCTTGGTTCAGCTGCCTACGTCACCCTAGACCGTCTACCGGGGTTATATTGGGATATTGGAAAATAGGAGGGAAACTGTTATAATGGGTTATATAAGAGCTATATTTCCTCTTCAAACCTTCTATCACCACATTGTTTTGTGGGTGTGAACTGGTCGGGACTCGTTGCACATGCGGATCGAAGCGTCCAGGTGAAGTTCGACAACATCACAAAGCGCATTCAGGTGTCCAGCTTGCTTGTCTAAATCTATGTCGAGTCTCTATTGACAGTATTGTTGCAGGGTCAATAGTGCGTGATTTATGAGTATGCTAACGTCTTCGAGAATTTCCACATTTCTAAACCATTAGACATCAATGATCGACTGGTTGCCGATCATTCAAGTCTCTATTGCATCTTCGCCCTCAAAGGCTCATGACTGAAGCCTCCAAAACGGAACCCATGTCGTGGATGCTGCTGCTGTAGGAACTTGGGTAGGTATCAGCCAAAGCCGGCTCGTGACGGAATAAGGATAGCATGTTCCCACGAATCTTCACCATTCCTGTTTGAGATTAGGAACCAGTGAGGCTACTTTATACAAGGGGCCTAAATACTTTCCAATATCATGGTCTTGGATTCCTTGTAGAAATGCGTTAGTGAGTACTTCAAACAGACCGCAAAATGGCTTTGGATATAATATATATATATGTATGTATAGAGGCCCCTACAAGAGGCACATGGCAAGCACCTAGGGTATGCCAAAGTATGCATTGGGTAATCGCGACTTGGAGGTTCATGGGTAGTTGGAAGTGGGGCATGCATACGACAACTATAAGTGGCACTGTGTAAATGTAATCCAATTCAGGGTTTTCCAAGATCCTACTTCTAATTGCTTATGAGCCTCCATGAAGACTCCAGTGTTTGAATGGGCTCTGATTCCCCTTCCCCCAGCAGTCTCTTCTGGGAGTCACGGCCGCTAACCCCTGGTGATGTGATAGGAGCCAGAGTGAAAATTTCAGTTATTGTGTTGTAGTTGCAGGAGTGGCCGTCGTCGTCGTCGTCGTCATCATAGTAGTAGTAGTAGTAGTAGTAGTAGTTGTTGTTGTTGTTGTTGTTGTTGTTGTTGTTGTTGTTGTTGTGGTCGTCGTCGTCGTCGTCGTCGTCGTCGTCGTCGTCGTCGTTGTTGGTTGTTCAACGAGTGACACGATGTCGAAACCACTGCTTATCGATGCGGGGCGCAATAGCATATGATACCCCAGAATGATACCCACCAAATCTGCAAAACGATACGGGGCACTCTACATGCATTCCAGCATTACCACAAACAAGCAGCATTGACGCCAGCTCTGGGCTACAGCGAAAAAGCTGCCGTCTAGTGGCTTGTAAACGTCGGGAACCTAGGCCCATGAAAGGCTTACAGTAAATCCTACACCGGCAAACTGAAGATCAAAGCTTTACCGTGGGAACTCGGTTTAGGGTTTAGGATTCAGGGTTTAGGGTTTCGGGGCATGAAGCCTTGAAGCCCTAGTGGCCTAGCCTTAGAATTTGAAAGCTTGAAGCTATTGCTGTTGCAACTGCCATCAAGTGATTTTTATCATCATTGCTACTACCACTGTTGCTTTTTCTCTTCCTGTGCAGGCTTTGTGCGATGGGTTAGACTCCGATTTCATCGACCCTGTGAGGATTACGATGAAGGCCAAGCTCAGGGTGCAGAGTTAGAATCCTCGTTGGTTTAGGGTTTAGGGTTCAGGAATTGGGCTCCAGGCTTAGGGTTTGGGGTTTAGGGTTTGGGGTTTGCGGTTCAGCCTTTAGAGTCTGGGCTTTGAAGTTCAGGTTCTGGTTCAAGTGGGGCTTTGGCTCGAGGGTTTGATTAGGGTTTGAGGATCTGGGGAGTTTTGGTTTACTGGTGGTTAGTGGGCAGCGGAGCAATGGATCCCCAAAGAATTTTGATTGAGTTCCACATGATAGCCCTGCTATCGTATCAAGCCCCACTAAGTCAGTGAGTTTTGAGGCCAACGTGTAGGATACGCAGAGGGTACACCTTGATTCTCAAACTAACCAGAACAGTGGCCTCTAGGGCCACCCCGAAGGGTAGAATGAAATGGGCTTGCTTCTCGAGTTCTAGGTGGGGTTTGCAGGTCGCTCAGCTGGATTTTGACAATATCCTGATTGTGCTTCGAAGGCCAGTCTATGCGCTACAGAACAAGAGGTAGCCCACCCTGAAAGACTGCTATGTCCATCAAGATGTTATAGTCCCCCTTAAGTAGATAGAATATGGTTATTTGGGGATCTTATTCTAATATACCCAAAGCCATATTCTATCTACTTAAGGGGTGCTATATGCATTCACAGATGTGCATCTCGATAGATCCTGCAAACCTGGCCAAGATGTAGTACGGGACACCTTCATGGCTTTAGCAAAGGGTCTTCATCCCTAAATCCAGAGCCCTACAGGCCATAGAGCTGCATGTGGGTTTAGGGACAAATGTTGAGCTGCGCCTGTACTAATTAGCTGGGTAGATACACTCTCAATTTTTGAGTTCTTTTAATTTCATCCTAAAAAAACTCGGTGATTTGTAGCCTCGTTCATACAGCAATGCGCCAACGGAAGTCCTGGGCGTGAACCCAAACCCCAATGCTAGAACACTAGAACTCTTGACCCAAATCCCAGCCTCACACCTGGAACTCTAGACCCGCATCCCAAAGGTGCTAGATGGTTTCCACAGCGGGATCGCCACTGCCCAGATTGACGAGCTGGCTGCTGACATGGCCTCAGCATGAGGGGTCGCAACCTGCAGGGACTTCGCATTACTTACTGGTTTGGAGTCTAGCGTCTTGGACTTCACAGGGTTTTACAGATGCTGCAGAAACTTGAAGAAGACGCCTTTGAAGTTGCGCTTGCTGGTTGGAGGTTTTGGTTGATAGTTTGCAGTCTGTGCCAAGGTATTGCAAGCATCGATGTGCTTTTAGGTGCAAGCCAGCAGTTGTTCTGCACAAAGCTGACGAAACAGGATGACAATTCCGCAGGCAGCTGCAATGGCGGTAACTGGTACTACGCAAAGCAACTTGAAATTAAGTGCATGATGCCGGCCGGGGATATGTACATGAAATTACTACTCATATGGATATACATGTATATATATATATGCACATATGGCCCCCCAACTCCATACACACTCTAGACTTAGAAGCTATATCTAGCTTATAACTCTCTATAGAATTTCCTCCAGGCAGGGGGTTGAACTGAAGCAGAACTACGTACAATCCTGAGCTCTAAGCCTCAACCTCGAAGCCCTAAGCCCTAAATCCTAAACCCTAAACCCTAAACTCTAAACTCTAAACCTCAAAACCCTAAACCAATCCTTTGTTCAGGAGACCTGCGCCTACATGTCTCAGAAGCATCCCGACTTCTCGATTCTGGCAGCGCGTATCGCGGCCGCCGGGCGGCAACTCAGGTTATATGGGGTTGCATGGAAGTATGCTTGGGTTATACAGGGTTATGTCATATTAGAGTTATAAAGGGTATACAGGAGGCCGATTTACAGTTGCAGTTTCATATGAAGTTGTACTAGGGTTGTACAAGCACCCTAAACTTTAAGCCCTAAACCCCAGATCCCCAAACCCAAAGCACCCCTAAAACCCCAAGCGCCAAGGTCTCCAACCTGCACAAGAACACCTCCGACTCCTTTGCGGAAACCTGCCGTGCCCTGCACGAGTATAGGGACAAGCAGGCCTGGGCTATGGCCCCTGGGTTATGTAAAAAGGTTTAGGGTTTAGGTTTTAGGGTGTGTTTGAAGGAGTGCAAAAGAAAATGGAACATATCATGTTATTGTGGAATGAATTGAAAGTACGTGCCCTTTTTTGAGGCTTCGGCTTTGTATCAAAGGTTTGTTTCCCAGGGCTTAGGGCTTAGGGTTTAGGGCTTAGAGAGGGTTTAAGGGTCATTTCCTAGACGCTCAGAACACCTGTGGCGGCACCATCTCTCAAGCGTGGCAGGTAGTACCTTCGGACGCAATAACCCCATTATAGTAGTTTCCATTTTCTTTTCCAATATCCCCATATAACCCCCAGATAACCCCATATGCCCTTGTATAACCCCTATATAACCCATTGGAGTAGTTTCCATTTTCTTTTCCATTATCCTTATATATTCACCCAATGTAACCCCAATATTACCCTAATGGGTAACATTGGATCCCGACTTTTGGATGCCCCATGGCTTAAGACCCAAAACCCGAGGTCTCATCACTAGCCTCTAGGCGCTGAAACCCTAAACCCTAAACCCATAAACCCATAAACCCTAAGCCCTAAACCCTAAACCAACTTTTGGAAACCCTAAACCCATAAACTCAAGCCAGCACTCCCAACGCCCCAGCGCTCTAAACCTTCCATATCCCCGCATGCCCCCACATCTTCGCCATAAGCCCTTTAAAGGGATCTCAGGATACCTACCCAAAAGTTTTACCCTAAACCCGAACCCTGAACCATAAACCCTAAACTGTTTTGCACGGCAACAGCTATGGCCAGAGCTGACAGTGCATCAGACGCGTCGGCACAGAAGGTCCGCTGCTTTGAGGTGGGGAGGCTTTGGGCTTTATTGAAGAGGGGTGTTGGAGATATGTATATATATATATAGATGTATAAGATACATACATATGTATATATGTAGCTAGATACATGCATAGGGGCGAACAGGTTGAGGGTTCGCGTTACGCAATTCGCAGAGTGGTAAGGACATGCGACTTAGGGTCTAGGTTTTCGGATGCCGAGTTTGGAGCTTGGGACTCAGGGTTGAGGGTTTAGGTTGCTGGTGTAGTGTAAGACATTTTTACGATGTGGGTATCCCCCGACAAATATCATGCAGGTGAATCCATCACCAAGGAGTACCAATATCAGCATTAGTATGAATACAAGTATTCCCAGTACTTCCTTTAGATTTACAAATTCTGCTCTAATCCTTTATTATACTCTTGCTCCATATATCCTAGGATATTGGTATCTGTGATCAGAACTGTTTTTCAATTCGTGGAAGCCAATCGAGACGAGATACCTGGAGATTAAATCTTTAAATCCTAATCCCTTTGTGGAAGTATGACGGAGGATCCTGAACAATTAAGAGGCTGTCCTCCCAGAGCCCGTTCAGGGTTTTAAGTGCAGTGCACCCACCAACTGCTGTGAACAAAATTGAAACAACATATTTCTGTTTCTGTCGTAGGCCATTCACCTTGCGAGGAAGCCTTAGGCTCAAGTCAAGGAAGTGCAATCCGGCATGAATGGCCATCAGTTTTCCCAAAATCAGCACGGAAGCCCAAAAGGAGACCTAGGAGGACAACCCAAAACCGTTTTGAAAAGGGGCCAACATGAATTTTCCATGTCTAATAGCCCAACATCCTCCCATATCCCCTATCCTCCCTGTGATGGCCTCGAGGTAATCCCTGTAACCTGTGGAGAATCCCTGAGATCTCGGATCCTTCATCAAGAGCAACTCTTAAGTCTAAGTTTAGGGTTTAGGGTTTAGGTTTAGCAGCATGAACTTACCCATGTTTGGGAACATGAGAGTTGCTCATGAGGACTTCTACAGCATGCTTAGAAGGGGCGCAAAATGCCTTTCTAATCCCCGTACATCCCTGGATTCCATTTTGAGAAGCCACCGCATTTTCTTGTTGCTTCGGTAGAGCCGCTTGCAGGTGGATGACTGGGCCTTGGAGGGATATGGCTTGTCTCAACCGAACTTTCCGTGCCCCGTTGAAATCTGCGACTTCTGCAATCCTGTCGCTGTGAAAGCGATCCCATCCTCTGGAACCGTGCTGGTTTCTGATGACGCCTTCAACGATGAAGTATTCCTTGAAAGAGTGGTTCCGCAGCTGGGGGCGCTGCTTGACAAGGGTGGCACAGCAGTCGTTTTGGCTTATCATGGCGTGTTCCACGTCCCGGAGCGCCTGGGTGGGATTTTCGGATGCAACTGGAAGTTCAAAGGAACAATCAAGCACGAATTCGTGGCCACGCACCACCTCCAGAACCACTTTTCTCCTGGCCAGTGTCAGCGACCAAATTTCCACAGCCCCAACCTACTGGCAGTACCAGAGGGGGAAGCCATGCGCCTTGATGTTCGCAGTAAAACACGGTTTTACTTGCACATGCAGGACGTACAAGGGACGATGAGTACAAATATGCCATGACCATGCAGGACAAATTTGGAAAACAATGACAGCGTTTGCCTCATTTGCGTTGTTGCCTGAACAGTTCCCCAGGTATCTTCCGACCACAGGTGAAAATCACACACCCTTGGCGATCCACTGCACAGAGCAGGGTGGGCGCTTGGCGCCTGGCACTCAAAGTCGCAGAATTTCTTGATCTTAATTTTTGGTATCAAGTACAGGGAAAGAGAGCCGCAGAGATCGAAGACCTCTGCTTTTGCGTAGCCGTCCGGCATACTAGGCCTACTTTGGGTCCGTCAATTTCGAGACGGACTTTGTGTCCTTGCTCAAAGAACTGTGCTGCCTCAGTCGCAGCTGGGCTCACTTGAGTGTATCCCCAACGGGACACCGTCCCAGCATAGACTCAGAAGACTTCCTTCCCCTCCTAAGCCAAAAGCCAATTACTCGCGTTTTTTTCAGGCCTGGACCCTAAACCCTAAACCCTTTGATTCCTTGCAATTCGCCTAGACATTGCAGTTCGTCACCGCGGTTAGCTCAGTTTTCCGAAAGTATCTTCCTGCTGAGGATGCCTTCCTCAAAGCCCAATACCTTACGGGTTCTTCGTAGGGAATAGGGGGAATATACTCCCTAGAGTCCCCCTTAAGTAGATAGAATATGGTTTTGGGTATATTCTAATAAGATCCACATATACACGTTTTTTTTTTCTCGTTTTCGTAGGGAATAAGGGAATATAATCTACCATGGTATATTTTCGCGTATATATTGGGGTTATATAGTAGGGAAAAAGGGAATACAATCCCTATATACCCTATATGATATGTTTGTATATTCCCTACTCAGCCCCAGTAAGACATGGAAACCTACTCAGGCTTCTTTTCAACAAGAGTAGTCTTTTAGGGGCTGTTCCGGGTCCCACGTTAGTTTGGGGAGGCTCTAGACCTTGACTTTTGATTGCTATGGCTATTACTTTCACTGTTGTCACTTCTTTTTCTTCTTCTTATTGCTGCTGCTGCTGCTGCTACTACTACTACTACTACTACTACTACTACTACTCCTGCTACTACTACTGCTACTGCTACTGCTACTACTACTACTACTACTACTACTACTAAGCCCCAAACCCTAAACCCTAAACCCTAAACCCTAAACCCTAAACCCTAAACCCTACTACTACTACTACTACTACTAGGACTCTTCCTTCTCCTATTACAGCACTCTTACAAGCTGCCAAGGCAAGTCATTGAAGCCCTGCCAGCCGGGCCCACCTTGCCAGCCTGAAGCGAAGTTTCTCCTCCCATGTGACATTCTCTTCACGCGGCCTGCCCGGTTAAGGATTTAGGGTTTAGGATTGCAGTAGGGTTTAAGGTTAAGGATTTGGGATTAACTAGGGTCTAAGAGTCCAAAGTTGAGGATTTTGGGTGTTTGCATTTTTCTAGCGTATAAGGTTAGGGTTTAAAGTTTAAGGGATATGGTCCTAAGTTTTTAGGCCAAAGCCTCAAACGCATCAAAATCCCGTGTAGGGAGTAGGAAGGGCCCCAGGTTATGTCTGGGTAGTGTCCTATAGTGTCTTACAACTACTGGTAACGATAGCATTGGTGCTTAGGGCCTGGCGGCAAGTGCAGCCCGAGCCCACCCCAGCCCTGCTGATGCTCCTGAAAATGATGTTCTTGCTACCTGGAATGTTTTTAGGTTTGGAGGGTCCTTTTCTATTTAATTTAATTGAAAGCAGCCCAAATTGGGTCCCAATTGTGTTGATGATGTTCCTGTACGAGGGGCGCGCGCGCCTCGTACAGGAACATCATCAGCACAATTGAGACCCCATTTTGGCTTCGTTGGGTGGGACCAGGAGGGGTCAAAAACCAAGAAAAGCCGTCAAAAACAGCGTTGAACATGGCACTCTGCGCAGGCTGTTCATGTTGTAGCCCACAGGGACAGTTTCTTGCAAATCATGAGCAACATTTAACGTATTTGCTAAGCTACACAGCGTTGCACAATCATAGCTTAGGAGCCACAAAAGTGCTGGACATATAGGCAAAATGTGCAATGCATGCAAAGCCTGTCGCATGCTTATCATGCAGCGCATGTGCTGCCAACAATGGTATTCACAGCCACAAACACCGCCCACAGCGTGTATTTGGAGCGTTTTGTTATGTGTTCTTGCGCATTTTAGGCGCCCAGCAGCCCCCCAAGAGCCAGCATCATGAGCATCATGGGGCTCTTTGGGCCCCCAAGTTGCTTCTTGGCACCACACATATGAGGTTCCAACACTTCTCGAAAAGCCTAAATAAGTTGAGGTGTCCAAAAGTGAGAAACGAAGTCCCAATTGTGCTGATGATGCTGGCCCTCTGGCTCAGTCTGCCGGACCCAGCGGCGGAGAAGTCGCAAACGCAACGACAGCGTAAATCCTAAATCCTAAACCCTATAAACCTTACAGCCTAAACCCTAAACCTTGATGTTTTCAGCGGCTGGCACGAGACCAATACGGCGCACAAGATTAGTTCAAGCTAAGCTGCCGGGACTCCGCAGCTTTGCAGTTTCCAGTGGCTGCGCACGAAACCAATCGGCGCAACTAGCCAGGTTGCCGGGACTGTGCAGGACCAACGCTGCATTCCATTTTTGCAGACGTGTCCAGGCCTTGATGAGAGCCTGGCTTGGGGTGGGCATTTTGAGGAGCATACGCAACCCACAAGGGAAATAAGAAGAGGGTTTTCACCCTTCCCGTCTCCTGAGACCATCCAACACGTCCGCCAGATAAATACTCAATATCCAAAAACACTAAACCCTAAACCCCTAAAAACCTAAACCCCTAAACCCTGCACCTTAAATCCCCAAACCCGAAACCACTAAACCCTGAACCGCTGGACCTGACAGCGTCCGAGTTTTTGAGAGCTCGGCTCCCTTTAGCTGGTGATCTCCTTTGGGTTGCTTCATCGCTGTCAGCATGTTAATGTCAGGAACCCAAAGTGGGTTTCGGAAACCTAAGAAGTTTAAAGCGATGTGTTGCAGATTTTGAAATGATAAACCTGAAGCCTGAAGCCCCAAGCCTCGAACCTCGAGCCCGCCCAATCTCCCTGCCCCCATCTCAAACCCGCCAAAACCCCACAGACCCCAAAATCCAAAGCCCTCAACCCTAAGCCCCAAACTTGTTTCAAAGGCAAGGGAGCATTAAGTCTGAGTTCCGAGATGGCAGGAGCTTGTTGGGGATTCTCAAAGAAGGGGAGGCCCCTAGATCAAAGAAACAGTTGGGGGTCTCCAAGAATTAGGGGTCTCTTTTATTGAGACTCCGTATGAAAAGGATTGTATCGTGGGGTTTTAATTTTAGAGTCTCCCATGCGGTGTATTTATGCAAGGTCAGAGTTTAGGGCTGAGGGATTATGTTTCAGGGTTTCTGAAATGGGTGTCCTGAGGGTCTGCAAAGATATGTGGGAGGATCTCGTGGCAGTTCTGAAAGAAATATGTCTTCCTTTCTGAGCAGTAAACCTTCAACCATTCACCCGATGCCAGGAGTTTGTTGAAGACTGCTTGCCAGCTAGCAGCAAGCGACCTCCAGAAGCGGGATGTGCCTGTGATCCAAGTTGTGAAGCATGACGCTGGGCCATTTGCAGTCAACATCGGTAACAGGATTTAGGGTTTAGGGCCCCCTATGAGCTACTGTCAATGGGGTAACGAAAAAGCAAATGAAAATGACTATACAACGGAGAATGAAGTGGAAAATGGCACGGAAACATGATTACATAGGGGTTTGTAGGGATGACATAAATAGCCTTTCAAGATGACCGAGGCATACTTGCTACTACTGCGGATGCGGTGTTCATTGCTAGGACAAGGAGCTCCCAGATGTAAGAGTCGCATGGACTCCCCAGTGCATGGCATTTCACCACAGTTTCACGGGACGACTTCCCGGAAGAAATGCTACTTCTGGGAGGCAGAGACTCCTTTCTGTCTTCTTACAACAGAGATGTGGTATAGTTACTTATGGTATCCCTTTTCGTAGTCTCTATACCCCGTATTCTTTACTGCAATTCCCTACCATCCACCAGCAGGTAAACCAGAACCGAGGAAGCAGGCATTTACAGCCTTGACAATGGCCGCCTTGCAGTCTTCCGACTGCTGCAGCTGGCACAAGTGGTTGGCGAGATCAAAGTGCTGATGGCTGCTGAGTCCTTGTTGAGGAACATGGGGTTTGCATGTCGTGATGGACCCCGATAATCTGGATGCCAAAAGGGGAACCTAGATTTAAACATAATTCCAGCTTCTGCCAAAACAACGGCTGACCTTGAGACACCTCTTATTGAAGCTAGCCGCAAATCCCATCAACAGATGTCCCCTGATCATTCCTACCCTGCGCGCTAAACAGGTTCCCTTCGACCAGAACCTTTGGCACAAGAAGTTTGATTCTGGCAGCAACCACACGCAGATACGTGTTCGCGGCAGCGATTACATCATCGGGAATTCCTTGCAATCCACGACCTTCCCTCTGGCTCAGCTTCGTAAGGCACAGCCCAGTGCCCAGTCCGCATACCCAGCCTGTGCTGCGCTTCTGCTGGAGGACGTGGACAGCAACGACGAGGCTGGGAGCCATCAATAGGGTGGCCTGTACTGGGCCTAACTATATGTAGATGGGAACTACAAGTATATAGTCCCCGGAAGTAGATAGAATATGGGGTACATAGGGATCTTATTATGAGTTACCCAAAGCCATATTCTATCTACTTAAGGGGGACTATAGAGTATAGAGGGGTTGTTAGGGTGTGTACGGCATAGGCAAGGTAAGGACTGCGCCTTCTCTGCCTGCGCCAAGCAGTGATTTTGGACCTGTTTATTGGTCCATTCGCCCGAATATCAAGCGCACCCCCAACCTCCCAACAGCGTGTCATTGGGAAAAATGATTCTGGATTTTATCGTCTCAATCAGAAATGCAGGTTTTAAGTAGTATCCCGAAAAGGAGCTGGCGAGGTGCATCCTTCAATGTATATATTTGCGGACTATGACAAGAATACATGATACTAGGGGGTGGGGCGTTGTTTCGTATTAAGGGAGAGATCCACCGATCCAAAGCCCTAACCCTAACTTAGTGGTTCTGAGTAGGGAATAAGGGAATACAATATAATCCCCATATACTATATTCCCATATTCCTACTAAGAGCCAGTAAGCCAAACCCTAAGCCAGAACCCTTAAATCTACATCCTGGATCTGTAAGTTAAAGCCTATACATTATTGGTATCCCGCAAAAGACCCAGTTATATCCATCAAATGAAAGAGACCAGATAGGGCTACATCAGTATCCTTTTCTAGCTAGCGATGTCTGGAAAGCCGTTTGCTTTCTAGAGACCCGCCAATAGAAAGATGACCATACTCTTGGTAGTGCTCCAAAGCAGTCCCCCTTATCCCCTACAGTCCCAAGCCCCGGACATCAATGCTATAGGCCCGAACCCCAACCCTAGACCCCAGACCCTACATCCTCTCAGGGCTACCCTGCCGGTGTCGCACCCTCTGCCCCGATGCGGGCCGGTCGTCCAAGAAGGCGTCATATCCTTCAGTACAGCCGAGCAGCGCCGGGGTCCGCGGAAGAAGACTTTTTTTTAGCATGCTGGGTCTAGGGTTTCGGGTTTAGGTTTTGGCATGTGCTGCGACGGGCTTCACCCTAACCGCAAAGCCTAACAGGGGGTCAGACAGAGGTTCTGAAGGATTTCAGCACAAGATCTTAGGATGGAGCTTGTTCGGCCCAATGCAAGTTTGCTACGGCTCACATTTTCTCAGTGGTCTTTGGTAACCTCAACCCCCAAAATGAGGAACCTATGACTATCATATGATCCTTACAAGGTTGAATATTTTTGGGTTTGGGGTTACCCATCTTAATATCCTCTCAGTAATGTTACAGTGGAAGATTCTGAGCCCTAAATCCTCAGCCCTAAACCCCAATCCGGGTTTAGGGTTCAGGGTTTTGTTAGCAGGGAACTGAGGAATGGATCACTAAAGTAGCCCGTCTATAATCCCCTGAACATTGTTCTTCTGATCTATTCCCTCATTCCCTACTAACCACAGCAAGCTAACCCGGCACCCTAAACTCTGGAATCCCCCAAAACCTCCCAACCCCCATTCTATTTTGCATTTCCTTTGCATTTGATTCTCAATGATTCGTACATATCTTTTTATGTCCCTATATAGCCCTGTATAAAATGGTGTCCATTTCATTTTCCATTTGCTTCTTCGTTCCTCAAGGAACTCCGGCGCATGGGCTGGCGGGGTGAGCAGTACCTGTCCCACTCGCAGGGGCGCATGGCACCTTTTATCGAAGGCGCGGAGTCCAAAAACAATTGTATGAACATGGCCTTTCTTAAACTATGGGATTCCCGAGAATAAGGGGTCTCTTTTTGAGGTCACTACAATAAGGATTGTCGCATCTTGCAGTTTGTCTTCATTTTTTCTTAAATTGCAATGTTTTGTTGAGATGTCCATGTTAGTACGCGCAATCATCGCGTAGTTAATCTTGACAAGTACGGGGCCTTTCAGAATTGCAAAAGCTTTAGAGCCAGAGCTTTTGCATGGTATTTGCACGTCCCTAAACCCGGAACCATGGGCCGTAAGCCTCAAGCCTAAACCCGAAACTCTAAACCATAAGCTAGTTTCCACGAATGGGGGGACCCCATCTAGACCCCAATATTATACCACAATCCTCATTATGGGGACCCCCAAAGAGGTACCCCTAATTTTGGGAAACCTAAACCCTATGTAATCACCTATATGATCCCAGCTTTCATTTCATGTTCCATTTTCTTTTCCATTTGGTTCTCCATTATAGTAACCGTAGGTACCCCTAATTTTGGGAAACCCTAAGCCCCAAACCCTAAACCATATATGTCCCAATACAATCCCTATATAACCCCTATAATCCCCGTTTAAAGGTACCCCTAATTTTCGAAAACCCCCATAACCCTACCTCTGGCCTTGGAGCCATGCTCACCGTGGAGTTTTCCTTGTCATGTATCGGTTTAGGGTTCATGGTTCAGGGCTTAGGGTCTGTTTTACGCAGTCTAGAGGAAGCCATAGAAATGCCTCTAAGATCCAAACTCCACTCCTGAAAGGTTAGGCATTCCCATTATTAAGGCTAAGATTCCTGCATGACCAGGAATGCCTTACACCTTGCGGGAGTCCTGCTCTCATATCATGCCAAGGTCATGCAGGGGTTGCAGGAATTCTTCTACCCCCCACCTCCCGTAGAAACAAATCCCTACTCACAAACATTCCCTAATACATAATCATGAAGTGGCAGAATAGTTGTTATTGGGGGAGATGTATTGTTGAGGGGAGGTGGTTAAACCCTAAACCGTAATAATATAGCAAACACATTTCGCTAAGGGATGGGCGCGGTCCAAAGTAGCACGCTCGGGTGCCTAGCCCGGGACACCTTACAAAATCAATTAGGGGACCCTACTTAGTAAAGGATCCAGGAAACGGGTAGGGGCCCAGCCCGAAACTAGGGTTTAGCGTGTAGGGACTCTGAACCCTGAATTCCTAAACCCTGAATCTTCCCATTGTGCAGGCATGGACTCCGATTCCGACTTCTCCTATGATGACCTGAGAACTATGCCCGAGAATCTGCTGCCAACTTCCTGGAAGGGCTAGAGCGCAAACAAAAAGGACATCCTGTAATAGGCTAGAAAGGTTTATGTAGGGGCTGGGGCTAGTGGCAGCATCGCTTCCTGCAATTTGCTACCGGGTCAAAGGCTGCAGCAAGAAACTTCAGCAGTAGCGATATGTCGGTCCAAAGCACCCACACTAAAGAGTGCGAGCATGGAACCCCCACAGAGTGCGGGCAGTGCTTTGGCGGCAGACGGAAGCTGTTGGTCTGATTCATCCCACTGTGACCTGCATGTAATGCGAGTAAATCCAGCCACGGCATACAGTTTAGGAAGACGGAGGTGAGGGTGAACGTCTCCTTTGACCATTCAGCGATCTGCAAAAAGGGATTTCTACTTATGAGGAAAGCGTTGTATCAAGTATATCCTGGAGCACAGCTCTGAGGTACATAGTTAGCACCAAAGACAGAGAACTCTAGTTTCAGGACTCCTCATCCCCGTCCCCAGCAAGAGTCATCATGCACAATGTGAAGCACCATGCTGACAGGCCTTTCTTCAGAAGATTCAGCAACAAAAGGACAGAGCGTCAGGGTCCACGGTTTCGACGTACCCCCCCCAACATGAGCTATGGTCAACATGGTCGTCACTGGACGAGGGGTTTCTCAAGTTTGGGAGCACAGTTCTTGTAGTACACATGAATGCACATATATATATATATATATATACGTACGTATTACAAGGACCAACTTCCAAAACTTGAGAAACATTATGTTGGCATATTCCCAAACAAGATTCCACGTTTTTCATGTGCAGAAGAAACTCGTAGCTCACGTGATGCAGGGCCGGCAGGCATCGCTGATCTCTGACGAGGTGGCTGCTTGGTGGCTTTTGGTGGGCTCACCGAGGAACTGTTGTTTGGAACTGAATTTGGATTATGAATGGCGCGTATGCCTCATTCAGCAGCCGCCATTCCTCCCTGCGTAGTTCTGGTCTGGAGATTTGCACGTGTCCCTTTTAGGCTTGCAGCTTGTTTCTTGGATTGGGAACTATTTTTGCTTTTGGCCTTAGCTCGTACCGGCTCAGCACATCGGGTACTGATAGGAGCAGCTAAGCTTTAGGCCATTAAGCTTCAAGCGCGGCTTTCGGCAATTTGGGTTCAGCGTCCACGAATCAGGACCTGTTTTGAGCCATTTGAGCCTGCCAGACTTTAATTCTTTGTGCCTATGCCCCGAGCTTCAAACTGTTTGTGTACTGGTCTAGCTTTGGAAGCATGTTGGCTACTGAGCACATGCGCTTGAGTATGCAGCCTTCCAGAATCGATAGCGTATTCCACACATGGAAACCATTTTTGGAATCTTGCATTTGGTGTTCTGGAACACGCTCTAGGAAAGTCGCACAAAATTCGCTCTGGGCTTAACTTTGCTGAGATCAGGTGTGCGGGTTTTAAATCAGATGTTTGGGAGTGTGCAGCTGGGGGATTGGGTACAACAGGACTTCAAAATGTGGATGGAGTATGGTGTTGCATTTGGTCTAACTAAACAGGGAAACAAGAGAATCAACGATCTTAGATATCATGTGCAAATCCAGGTGTTACTGTCCAGCATTTTTACACACACACACATCTAAACTGAATCACGTAGCGGACTAAATGATTACACGCAGTTTCCCATGTATAGTATTCCATAGTCATAGTTATTGAGGGGTCATACAGGGACAAACTTCCTAGCCAGTCGTGTCCCGATATTGCTGAAAAAGTTGGAATATCATCCAGTAAGAACTTTCATCATACCTTAAATGCGAACCCCAGCCAGTGCAATGTACTTCAAAACATTTTCTAAGTATTTAGGTGCCCACGCTGTTCAAACGATTGGGGCCGAAGACCCTAGATCCATAGCTCTGTCCTAACGCAGCTTTGACCCAACAACCCTTTGGCATCATTAGGCTCCGAGGTACTGCAAAATCCAAATTGTAACCAAATAATATCTCATAGTCCCTCATTCCCACTCAGTCCCTTAGAGAGACGCCTGTCCCTTAGAGAGACGCCTGTAACGTCCGGAGTATTCTCATAAACTCCAAGCCCTGAATGTCCCCATAGCCCCAGGGACTTCCATTTTGTTCAAAAATCTTTCAACCCTGAACCATGAACCCTAGGTAAACCCTTACCCTATACCCTACACCTTACGCCCTAAACCTTGAAACCCCTCAATCCCTAACCCCCTCAAGCCCTGACCAAGGTTGAGTTTGTCCGTGCAAACGCTGCAAAGCTCGATGAGGCCATTGCTCCTTGGCCGCAATGGGCAGGGTTTTTCTTTAGGAATCTTTGAAAAGGGTTTACAAAAAGGTGTTGAATTTGGGGTTTCATTGGGATTTCTGTTTGGAGGCATTGTAAGCGGATTCCAGGGGCTCTAATTACATACGGATTATCTTGAGACACTCCCTTGACAGTTCTGCGAAGTCATGTCTGTTGTTGTCTGTGGTCACTGAAGAGGCAATGAGAACGCTTTCTAAGACAGGCTGAAAGGGGCCTCATCCCCCGCACCAACAGATCTCGCATGATCACCGGCAGCTAAATTTGAGAGGTCATATCAGCCATTTAGGGTTTAGGGTGACAGCCATGCTTGATAGCATGAATTGATAGCATCAGGCGAAATACGGCAAACAAGCAGACTAGTAGCTGCATGTATTCATTCCCCACAGTTTCCTAGAATTTCAACTTCCGAGTCTGGTCCAATTCGCTTCGGTGGCGGGGTGGACCCTGGGTAGGTTCAGGGTTTAGGGTTGAGGGGGTTTAGGGTTCAGGGTTTAGGTTTTAGGTTACGAGGGTGCAGGTACTTTGCCAAGTAGGGGACCAGACCGGGGCTTCGAAGACAGGGTTTGGGGTTAAAGCAGTTATGTCCCGTTTTCGTCAGTGTAGAATGTGCCTTATACTTACCTATGAACCTCCGAATGGGGCTGTTGGCTCGGAGTTACCGGATCATCACGCACCAGTCTCTTTTTCTGGCTGTGCGATGTCCCTTAGCATGAAGTATTCATGTGGTAAGGGGCACAAAAGGAGGTTTGGGGCAAGCATGCAGTGCCTGAATCTGAAAGGAAACGAGAAGCTTCAATCCAATCCCAGCCTTTGAGCCCAACTCGGGGCCTCCGAAGCCAGAATGCCCAAGGCCGAGCCACCTAGGGAGCTAAATTGTCAGTTTTGTAAACTTCGATATCTTTGATTATGCTCTTATTATGGTGGTAACATGCAAACCATAGAGCGCCTTTACGAGTTGTTTCACGCCTCGTTTCCAAACCTGAGGTCTACAAGCGCGACTATGACTATGAGACTTGGGCTCGAGATCATGTGAGACTGTTATTTGTTACTGGGGGCCTCAGCGATAGCAAAACGAGCCTAAAGCCCTAACTTCAAACTCTGAACCATTAAACTCTAACCCAAATCTTTTCCCAAACCCCTTGAAGAGGACAGATGACTTCTTCTAATCAATCCCCCTGGTAAACGACCCCCTTGCCTGGCAAGTGGAGCTTCCGATAAAAAAGGTACCATGACGCTATGGTGGAGTGTGCGTTTTGAGGGCATTTGGGAGTTCCATCATGCAAACTGAGTTCGAGTAGCCGTGGACAGTATCAGGGACCTTCAAAGGCATTCATAGACTCCCGTGGCTCTCTCCACTTTTGGTGCTTCAAGCTTAAGGCTCAACGGGCAGGCTTTCAGGGTCTAGATGGTTGCAACAGTTTTAGGGACCATGAAGCTGGACCCGAAACCAAGCAGCTTGGGTCTGTTATATGGGAGTTATATAGGGGTAATATTGGGATAATGGAAAAGAAAATGGAAACCATTATAATATTGGGGTAAGATTGAATTATCATGTCCAGTATGAGCTTGGAAGTTGAACTTCCCAAGACTAGCGGTCGCCTTTGCATACTGTAAAATATTGGCATAATGCTCACGCCTGCCAAAGGAAGAGGAGCCCTCATTTTTCTGAAGCCCTATCACGAAACCCCAAACTATATATATATATATACATACATATACACACCTATATCTGCCCATGAAAACCCTTGCAGATCTTCTCAAAAAGCTCCACCTTTTTCGAAGCCGGTCTGCCCAATGTGTATGTGCCCATAGGCCTCAAGTCTCAGGCCAGCTATACTTAGGTTTAGGGTTTAGGCCCAGCTACTTGACCCAGTGAGCTGAAGTCCCGAAGCCTTTGTTCATGGTTTGGGGTTTAGGGTCTATGTGAGCTATGTCTAAACTCCTAGTATCCCGGTTAATAATCTCCACAATGCTTCCCTATAGAATCCCCTATATACCTCGTTTTAAGAAGTATAGACTATGGCTCATATTGGGTTAGGGTTTGCGGTTGAGGGTTGGGTGGGGCTTAGTGGAAGCCCGGGGCAAAACTTCAGGGCGAAGGGACGAAGACTGGGTTTGTAGAGGAACGCTCTACAACTGCATATTCCTTAAAGTAGCCCAAATTTTTCGTGGACCATATTTGACATTAGGGAGTGGGGGGTTGTTGAATTTTAGGGGAGCAGGACAAATCCTTGATTTCGCTTCTGATGATGCTGCTTCTGCAAACCACATTGCCGACCCCTCTTACTTCTAGACTCATTGGAGGTAAAGTTTGGCGAAAGAGCTGTGACAAGCAAAGGATTACTTCGGCTTCAAGACCTTGGAGAAGTCATACCTGCCTTGCCCTCAGTTGGGTTTGGATCGGCTTTGCGGGGTCTCATTGGTTTTCATTTTATCGTCGTTGCAGGAGAACCTGTACCACACAAGGCCTGGAGCCTAAATCCTAGACCCAACATAGACCGCCAGAATATGACATCACTGTCTTGCCTTCCATAGGGGGTCCTGATCCTGATGAAATAGGTAGGTTGATGCGTGGCTGCTTGTCTTTGTTTTGCTTGCTTATTTGCTGGTCGACGTGGTTTGCCAACGTTGCTATGTGCCTGATCCAGCCTAATCCATGCTTCCGTCCTGTTGGCGGTCAACGGCAAAGACAGTGAGACTGTCAACTTGAGCCGGCTGAGTTGCGGACTGCACTTCGCGACTTGGCTGTAACTTGAGCATTGTAATGCTTGCTGAATCCGGCACCTCCATGATGTAAGCCCTGCTGATGTCAAACGGAGCCGTCCGCTCCCCAGACTGTCACTTGGTCATTTGGTGATGTTCTCTGCTGCCTGCTCCATCTGCTCCGCAGGTTGCCATTTTCACAGCAGCCTGCTGCTTGCTTACCCCACAATTTGCCAATCTCTTTTTCCCTTCCGCACATCACTCACCCTTGCAACTGCTCGCCCCTGCAGCTTCTCATTTTTTTGGTTTTGGCTGGGTCTCGTCAACTGCCCACGCTGCAGCTTGGTGGCGCTTCAGCGTACGAGACCGGGCAGCCGGGTTTAGGCGTTTAGCCTGATATTGCCCGGTCGTGCACAGCAACTTGTCTCCGGCCAAGCGGATCCGCTCGACTTATCCAGCCCAACTCTTTTGTCCCACACCCCCGCTTGTGTCTCAGCTCTCACTTCCCCCTCTGGAATCTCTTGCAGACAGCGACAGTGATGCATGCGGATGCCCCTGGAGATGCTGAGCGGGAAGAGCGTGGGAGGCTGTGGCCATATCATATCGCAGGTCGACCTGCCTTCCTTCTTTCGTTCTTTTCTTCCTGTTGGCTTTCTGGAACTCCCACTGGAGAAGATTACAAGCTGACGAGGACTTCGAAGCCTATGCCGCAGAAGCATCGCATTCCTGGAGACTAGAGCTTGTACTTCCGCATACTTGGGCATTCAGGGGTAGTTGACTCTGATTTATGCAAAGCCTGCGAACTAGGGTATGACCGGTTATGACCACAGTTGTTTTACATACGCCCTCAACTTAAAATCCCGAACAATCCCCCAAGTACACCTATTCTCTCATCACGAAACTCAAGCCGAGCTCTCCTGGGCAGTCCCTGCTTTGCGAGACATGGGGTTAAGGGAATCTCTGAAGGACGGTTGAGCCACTCGAGAATCGGAGTTGGTAACCTGAATTGAGTCCATGTTTTTTTTTTGTTCCGTGGGTTCTTGCCTTTTCTGATGCACAGTCGCTGGAAATCAAGACCTCTTCGGGATCTGCAAGGTGTGGATGTGCCAGATGGTAGTTTTAAAGCCAAGGGCTGATTTTGAATAAAGCAAGAGGTGCCCAAGAAAGAGTCTAGTCCGCTTTGAGTAGAAAAAATGGAATTGCCCAACAAAAGAAGATATACCACATATTCTACCCACTGAACGGGGACCATAATTTGAGACACACCTCCCCATACCACGGCTTGGAGTTTTCCATGCGATGAGGCTGAAGGTCCACGGCCGGATCGTTGAGCGACCGCAGCACCTCATTATGAGGGCCACATGGCTGCACGGTTTCGAAGGCTCCTTGCACTTGATGTAGAGGCCTCAGCCACTAGTAAGATGACCTCTTTATAGCCAAGACACTCTGTAGCCCAGAGCCTTAGCCAAATCGGTTAGCCCGACGTTATTTTGCTAGACCGGTTGTCGTGAGGCCCGTGGCCCTTCCTGCTGAGCGTTAGAAACCAATCTCAAACAGACCCTAGGCCCCAGGCGCTCAACCTTACAGCCCAAACCAAAGCTTGGTAAATCCTCAACCCTAAGCCCTACACCCTAAATCCCAAACCTTAAACCCTAAATAGCTTTGAGCCGAAGGTTGCGTGTGGCATCCACTGCGGAGTCTTGGCTTTCAGGCTTAGCATTAATATTATTATTAATATTATTATTATTAATATTGATAATATTAATAGTATTAATAATATTAATATTAATATCATTAATATGGGGATTGTCCTAAATTACTGTCAATACGGGGTCCTATATTTCGGTTCCTATTATAATACGGGGCCCTATATAGATTTCCCCCATTTTGGGAACAGTAATTTAGGGAAACTTCCATATGAATAGTATTAATATTAATAAGAGATGCGCCATTGCCTGTTCTAAGCCTCATGCCGTTGAAGAGGGCTCCATGCACGGGTGGGACACTTGCAGGGGTGTCTCCAAGAATCAAGGGTCTCTTGTTGGCTTCCTCTTCAGGACTATAGGCCCTTCAGGGCACAGAAGGGCGCGCCCAATCTCGGCAAACACACACTTGCTCTGCGCCCTAAGTTCTCCCTAAACCCTAAACCCTAAATGCCAGTCTCCGATCCACGCCCGGCCAAGGAAACGTGGAGGGTGCCATCGAAACCTACGACCTGACTCTCAACTCTCAAGTCCAAAATCCCCATTTAGGGTTTAAGGTTTAGGGTTTAGGGTTCAGGGTTTGGGGTTTAGGGTTCAGGGTAAGGGGTTAGGGTTCAGGGATCAGGGTTTAGGGTATGGGGTTTGGGGTTCATGCTCTGGGTATCTGGGGATTTTCCTAAAGTCATGATAATACGAGTCCCTTTAGTGATAGTGGGCTTCCTATTATTATACAGGTCCCTAAATACAGATCCTCGTTTAGTCCCATGTAGGATAAGACGCGGATCGCCAGTAATTCTTTCGGCTCCTCCTCAAGCTGTCAATGCTGTGATCTTGTCTTGAAAGCCTATGTGGGGGATTGTCAAAATTATGGTCCCTTTTTGGGTCCCCTAAATTAGGCCCCATATTAGGCCCCATATTAGGCCCTGTATTGTAATAGGGAATTCAAAAGGGACCATAATTTTGACAATCCCCCATGTAATAGTTGAAATCTTGACATCCATGCAAACCCCGTCCGTACTGCTTAGTTGCAGGCTTCTTGAACACTCCTGGCTTTCTTGCTTTTTTGTCTTGCTCCCTAGTATCCTTGTGAAACTTAAAGATGGTAGTTTCCCAAAATGAGGGGACCCTAATATAGACCCTAAAATATTTTCCAGTCCTCATTACAGCACTCCCAAAAAGGTACCCCTAATTTTGGAAAACCCACATATGTTGATCCCTTCGTCTTCTGAAAGCAAGGATGTCACGAAGGCTCTTCACGCACGCCACTCCAACGTGGCCCGGCATTGACTTTGCAAGATCTGGTACGTTGGCTTTGGGCTTTTCTTACCTTTGGTTAGCTAGGAAGGAAGGAATGGATGCTTATGGTAGTCCCTATATAGCCCATTATAGTAGTCCATTTTCTTTTCCATTCCTTCATTCCCAGCTGTCCAAAGGTAAGTTTTCTACTCCTAAGCCTCGAAAGTAGCCTGGAGACCGGCGCCGATACGGTTTGAAGTTCCATCCTTGGGCATTGGGTGGCTGTAGGTTTAGGGTTTCGGGTTTAGGGTTTAAGCTTTAGGGTATAGGGTTTAGGGTTTCAGGTATACCCTAAACCCTAAGCCCTATGACTTTGGGGAATGCTTCCTCGGAGGTGTCTCCGAGGAGGGGCCGGGCATGGCAAAGAGACATATAATACATACTTGATTTCTTGTCCTTTCCGAAAGCCTTAAATTGTAAACCTTACACCTGAAACCCCGAGCCCTAAGCCCTAAGCCCTAAGCCCCAAGCCCGAAGCCCCAAGCCCGAAGCCCCAAGCCCCAAGCCCCAAGCCCTGAGCCCTACCCTAAACCCTAAGCCCTAAGCCTAAACATGCAAAATCGAGGCCTTGGACTGACCATGCTATAGATGCATAATGTAGACCCATGATTAATAAACCCCCTCCCCTTAATAGGGATTTTAATAGGGATCTTAATATTAAGGCCCTTAAAAGGAGGGGGTTTATTAATCATGGGTCTACATTATGGGGTTTCCCAATAGCAAGGATTGTTTAGGGTTCAGGGTCCTGGGGAGGTTTCCCATCATAAGGATTTCTAGTCTTTGGGGGTTGAAGCATCTCACCTCACCCAACGGCGCTTGTGAGATAGAGTAGAAAATATATGTTTCTGGTTCTACTGCTAAGCCCTAAGCCAGAAACCCACAGCCCTAAACTCTAAACCCCATAGACTCTAAACCCTAGACCCTGGATTCCCAAGCCAAGGTGTCCTACCCTGGCCCTGCAAGGAGTGTTTAGGATCAGGGTAGTTTCCATTTTCTTTTCCATTATCCCAATATAACCCCTATATAACTCCAATATAACCCCTATATAACCCCAATATAACCCCTAGGGGGACATTGAAGCATCTGAGCCCAGGCTCTTCAATTCTGGGACGCCGTGCCCACAGATGTCCTCTTGCTTCCTGCTGACCATGAAGGCCCGAGCTGTTTCGGGGTTTAGGGCTTGCGGTGTGGGGTTTAGGGTTTAGGGTTTAGGGTCTAGGGTTTAGGGTTTAGGGTTTAGGCATGGGGCTGCCTTTAGATTCCCTCTCCTTGTGTTGTGGATCCTTATAATTGGGATATATTGGGATCCTCGCATGTTGGGAGTACATATGCGTCCGCACTCCGCGTTCTCAGCCCCCCCTCCCCCCTCCACGGTATGGTCCCCAATAGGGAATTATAACTTCCTAGAACCATGAACTCTCGATAGAACCTGTTTAAGATCTTCTTCCAAACCCTCTAGAAACTTTCACCACAGGACCCAGACCACAGGACCACAGGACAACAGGGGGGGGGGGGGCGACTTCAGAAACTTCCACTAAGAGCATTGGAGCCTTCACAAATCCTCTACGAACCCTCCAGAAAACTCTTCAACCTGTTGCAAACCGTCTATAAAAGCTATAACCCCTGTAAACCTTGCCAATAAACCTATAAAGAAACCTTTATCAACCCTTTCCAAACAATCTAATTCTATAAGATCTGCATACAACTCTATCAAACCTTCACAAACCCTCTAGAACCCCCTTCAGATTTTTTTTTGAGACCTCTAAACACCTGCTATAAAATTAATGAACCGTCTGCAAACCCTTCTTTAAACCTTATAGAACCCCTCTATAAACGATACACTTCTATACACTTAATCTAAACCTCTCGATTGAACCACCAAACCCGGACCGCACGACCACAGGACCACAGGGGGGGGAAGGTTAATCATATTCTATATCATGGACATCATGGACCATGGCGGGAGGTGAATGCGGGCGCATATAGGGGACTGTTATTTCGAAACATGTCAAACCTAAAAAGATGGCAAGCTTAAAAGCCCCCAAGATGTTCAACCAGGGTTGAGGATCTTGGGTGCTTTGTGGACACTTACTTCTGAACGGTGAGCAACATGGCCTATCCATTTGGGTAGCCATTTCCTTATCAGGGGGGCTGAAAACAAACTTAAACGTCCCAAACCATCAACCTGAATGCCGAATTTGAGCTTGAAGCCCTGATATTCCCACACTGTTGCTTGGGTTGCTGTTGCCGAACGTACATTAATTAAGTTACTAGGTATACAGGGTTTAGGGTTACCATAATAAGGAAACCCTACCATTTACAATATAGCCAGATTCTGGTAGCTTAATTATAGCTCCTGAGCAGCAACCCAGTAGCTTGTACTGCTTCTGCATTCAGGAAGACAGCATTGATGGCATCTATGACACCTTGAGACAGTCCCAAGCTTAACTCACCTTGCTGCTTTTTTGTTGAGCATTGAAGGTCGGCTATAAGGGAGCTTCTCAAGGTAACCCCTACATAACCCTTAATGGGGACTCCATTGTCCTCTTACAATACCGCTAGGGCCCCTAAGCGTACCCAGTTTGTTTTGCAGAAGCCTTCAACTCCGCCACCAGCTTCGCCCGCAAGAGGCCGAGCATCAAAAGGGAGACCATTTTAGAAGCCTGTCAGATGATACCTACTAGCATTACTCTTACCATCTTCATTGCTACAATTATAGTAGACTCTGCTGTGCTATACCATGATGGACTGGACTACACTACCGTGTGCCCAAGATGCCCACTCAACCCCAGACCAAGGTGTGCCCTGATCTCGAAGAGTGCCGGCGGCATCGGTGTGGCGATCTCGAACACCCGGGCCAAAGGATCGTACATCAGGGGCACGAACGGTGCCCTGGCACGTGTAAAGGTTATTTGTTGGGGCGACATGTCGGGTTTCGAGTTTCGAGTCCTCCATGTCTGGGGCCCATGTAAGGTTTGATTTCAGAGGTTCACGGATTCACAGCCATAGGAGCTTTACGCGTAAGGGTTGTGAGGCTCGGCAGCAGCCGGCAGCCCCAACACTACTACGAAACCCATAAAGCCGCTTAGAAAAGGCAGTAGTTTGCAGGGCCCCTTTTATGGATTCATGTTAGTTGGCGGGAGGGTGAAGTATGATTCAAAGCTAGATGTCTTTCCATCTTGCTTGGTCATTCTCAGCTGAAATCCTTAAACCCTAAACCTCTTAAACCCTAAGATCTGATGTGGGGCATTCTCCAGATGGGGATTCAGTGTTACGGTGGGGGACCTGACCAAGAAACTCCCATGTGTCTTCAAACCTTTGTGCGACCAAAGAACTGCAAGTAGTGGCTATACTCCTGTATGATCCCGATGAAGCTCTCCACTCATTCCAACAAATCCCCGATGATCCTCTTTCCGTTTGCCATTCGCATTGGGCCTTCCTTGAGGCTACAGCAACGGGCTCGTGCCTATGCTTCGGAACTTCAACGAGACGGCCCGGTATGTCGACCAGGGCGGAGGCTGGAATCATATTATGGTCTACTTGGGTGATTGTCAAAATTATGGTCCCTTTTTGGATCCCTATTATAATACGGCACCTAATATTTAGGGTACCCAAAAAGGGACCATAATTTTGACAACCACCCACTTCGTCTACACATGGCTAAACTAAACCCCTTAGCCCCTAAGCCCTAAACCCCCAAATCTCTGCTGGCAAGTAGGGAAGGAGTGGGCTGTTGCGATGATTTTATGGGGTTGTGTAGGGACTAATTACAAGTACTGTACGGATCCATTCCCCTATTCCCTACCTACCAACCACCAGTAGTTTTAACGTCTAGCAGTCTGGATTTGACCTTAGGGTTGCTTGGTAGCGGTAAGTTGATTGCCATAAACTTGGCAGACAAAATTAGGATACTTCAAGTCGCACTCCTGAATAAGGGATCTGAGGTACAGGGACCAGAATTGAACGAGTAGGGTTTAGGCTTTTACAAGTATAGTCCGCCTTAATTATTATAATATAACCAAAGCTACATTGTATCTGCTCAAGGGAGACTATAGTGTTGTGCAGAAACGGTCTGTGTTTTGTCGTGTTTTATCTGCTTGGAGGCCGATTGCGATGTTTCATCTCTGCAGTGAGAAGATGTGATCATCAACTTGGGGAGGCTTGGGGCCCTACACCCTAAACTTCCTCAACTTCCTAGGGTTTAGGGTTTAGTCCTAAAGCCTAAGCCCCTAAACCCTAAACCCCCGATCCCGTAAACCCTTAAGCCCCTAAACCCTAAATTCGTCGTCTTCTCGAGGCTCTAATGTAGACTCATGATTAATAAACCTTCTCCTTTTAAGGGCCTAAATATTAGGATCCCTATTATAATCCCTATTAAGGGGAGGGGTTTATTAATCAGGGGTCTGGGTTGGTCCTAGCTCATCCTGGCTTTGACTATCGTTACTTGGAAGTTCATGGATAGATGTACTTGGGGTCATAAGTAGGATAACTCTTTTTAGCACTAGCTACACCCAAAGCTAGGTACTTCTTAGCCCAACTTAGAAGACCCCATGAAGGACCCCGCCGTACAAGGCCATGTTTGGATAACTATCATAGGGCGTCCTGCTCAAATCACCTGTCCCAAGCCCTGAGCCCTGGATCGCAACGCCAGCCCCAGCACCTTGTAAGCCCAAGCTTACCTCAAAAGTTGAAACCAGGAATTTCTGAAACCTGGGACCTCAAATACCTCGAACCCAACGGCTAACCCAAACAACCTAGATTTAAGGGGTAGTTACCCCCTCATTAGGAGGCTTTCCTTTAGAATCTAGAACTTCAAGGAAGTTTGGGCTTAAACCCTAAAGCCTAGACCCTAAACCCGAAGCCCAAAAATTCCAGAGGCAAGCGCAAGGGCTCCTTCGCCATGTACCTTGAGCCCTGGCACGCGGCAACCCGGCTTGCATTTACTTTGCGCTTTGTTTTACCAGGCTGGGTGATAAAGGCTTGTGGGTATGGAGTTTAGGGCGTAGGGTTTAGGGTTTAGCGTGGGTTCTTCAGGTATTTAAGGCAAGGTTGAAGACTTGTCAGTTTCTTCATGTCTGCAGAATGTTTGGATGATTTCTGCTGAAGGGGCTCCAAAACTTGGACTCCTCGCTGCGGATCCCAGCATAGGCAGGATACCCTGATCTTCAGTTTGGGATTGTAGTCTCATCAGTAAACTCGTCCAGGATTTCAGCGGTTTCCAGCCAGGAGTGAGAGGATGCCGGACCCATGCAATGTCTGATTCAGTCGTGCAGACCTGTATCTTACTCTGATCTTCCCACCGGAATGGCATCTTGGACACGTGTACTGTTTTGAGAACTCCCGTAGGCTCCCCACACAAGCCCTGGCGCTTCTCATGATGCCCGTTGTTTAATCCCTCATATAGACCCGCACAACCCCGTGCTAATTCCCATATCCTGCTAGGGCCCCTGAGGGCATCAGAATGTTGAGAAACATAGAACCGTACTTAACCCCTCATCCCTAATCCCTGAGCCTTGTATATCCGCATGCCCGTGGTAAAAGAGCTTAAGCGTATTCCCATTTTGAGAACCTCCCAGATGCCAATCTTTCCTGCAAGGATGTCATGGACTTCCTCGAGCTGCGAAAGAACCACGGGAAGGAGGACCCTGTGGCATATATCTTGTTCAGAGTTTGGTATTCGGGTTTGCAAAGAGAATGCAGATGTCTGAAGGTCCAATGCAGAAAGAAGCCTGAAGAATCGTTAAAATCGTTTCCCATCATATGTGGTAAGGTTTCCTCTTGGACGTTAGTATGTGGCGCCCAGACAGATTGTTCTCATTATCTCGGTCCTATGCTTGGCAAGATGCTCATGAGCCAGCTTTCCGTTCAGGGTGCGACATTTTGTTTCCAAGACATAAGCCATTCGCTGGATGGCATGCGCCATCTATGCGAGTTGCTTTTGTGCACACCATGAAGGATGAAAGCAGGCCTCACCCAAGCAAGATGAGTTATGAACTGATATGAGCGAAAGCTTTTGATTCTGGAGGGAAGGTGCCTAGTCAAACGAGGGCAAGCCCTAGGATGTGCTCCTATAAAAACTTAGCCTGCATGAATCCTGAGACGCCAACTTAAAATCCTGGACCCTAAATATCATGTACTAGTATTATTACTACTACTACTACTACAAGAATTATTACCACTATTATTAGTACCATTACCATTGTTATTACCAACCGTAAGCTCAAAATCTTGAATCGCCAGCCTGTCTTAGAACCGGTGAGGAGCAGCGTGCACGAGACCTGTTCTACGGCCTTTGGGTGCCTGTGCGGCACTTGAGTGCTGCAAGGATCATGGGTGGTTAGATGCGTGGTGTTCAGAGTAGGATAATTGTGCTTTTACCCAAGTTTGGGCTACTTGTCGGCTCATTATAGAACTGCTCATGAACCAAGTCCTGTTTCCTGGCCTCAAAATAGAGAGGCTTTGAAGCACCAGTAAGATGAGCCCTCTCAAACAAAATCATACCACCACACCTTCCAACTTTTTTAGCCAGAGTTTCATATTTGCTCAGGAACACCAAGCTGTTACGCCCAGAGAACAAAGGATAAGACACAGATGGAGCCTAAGGTTCCGGACCTCTTCATGCGACGAGTCAAGGACATTATTGGTTCGGGGTCTGGGGTATGAAGCTTAAGGGTGCAGGGTTATATCTCAAATTAAGGATTGGCGTCCAAGGCTGGGCTTGTGTAGAAACCGGCATATTGGTCCCCTTGCAACTCGTACTTGGCTATGGTGGAAGGCAGGCCGCCATCCTGGTCCAGTTATTTGTCAAAGTCTACTTGGGGCTTTCCCAAAATAGGGGGGCCCCAATATAGACCCCAAAATACTATCATCCTATTATAGGGACCCCCAAAATGGTACCCTTAATTTTGGGCAACCCCCACTTCTTTGTAGGACTCGGCCGGAGTTGCTCAAGTCTCGGCATAACAGGTGCATCGTATTGTGTTCTGGAGGAGGATTTCATTTAAGGCGAGAAGCTTTGCAGCTTCAGAGCTTGGGAACAATGGTTGCTGGGTACAGTAGTGATATTCGAGGGTTATGGAGCTGTCCCGTCAGAGGGACACAAGCCTACTTAGCCGCGAAAAGACGGGTTGGGCACATAGCTCCTACGGCCCTACATAGCACTTGCTTCTGACAGGACAACCAGGATTGGACACTGTTCTGCCCGAACGAAGCCTTCGATGACGTGACAGGACGGCTTAATGAGTTGTTGAAGCTCCTCTTGAGTCTGGATCGTACGTAGGTTACGGGATGAAGAGGCAGGGTCTAGGCTGTAGCACTTGGAAAGGGGTGCTATGAGATAGAAGGGGTTCTGCCCCTTCAGCTTTAGGACGATCATGTCGAGCCCACCAGAAAGCGCGCGCCTTCCCAGAAGAAGGACTCCACCTCAAACTAGCAGCTGCAAGTACAGCTACGAAAGGAAACTCGAAGGTATCAGTTGGGTGTTCCCCTCTTGGAAGTTTACGTATGCTTATGCTGGGATGTACGTAGGGTTGTTATAGCTAGATGCCCAAGCTAGGTAGCTGTACCCGAACCTCAGCAGGAACTGTCCAACAACTAAACCGCGTAAACGCCCTAAGGCTCTAAGAGCCGTGGGAGTTGTACCATGCGGTCGACAGGAAAGGGGCTCATTGACGTCTGGGGCGAGGAGTTCGACAAGCGCCGTGCCTGACTGTTGCCCAAACCAATAGCCCTGAAGTGAGCTCATATCAGCCTGCGCTGGCTGGATTCTTGAGGCTCTATGAGGAGCTCGAGAAAGCTGGTAAGGGCCGGAAGACCATCAAGGCCACCAGAAATGTAAAACAAGGGGTTCTCAAAGATGCTGTCCCATTTTATTTAGCAATGTCTGAAAGTCACAGCTCTTTCTGGGTTTTCAGCAAAATCTGCCGTCGAGGAACATAGTTGCAAGATTCCGGTTTCGAGGTGCTATACCAGACCACTCTAATCCTAAATTCTGTATATACGATGAAGAATATGGCGCGGTATACGGCAGTCGCATGTAGTATCGGTAGAAGACACCAACATGCAACATAATAATACTAGATAATGAGTTGTATCATATCATAGTACGACATACAATGCATACACACACACACACAAAAACCCTAAACCCTAAACCCTAAACCCTAAAGCCTAAACCCTAAACCCTTTTGTATGTAGAGTCGGCTTGGAGTAGCCTAACCGCTACCCAACTCCAGAAGTCGAAGATCACCTCCTTAGGCCTCGCTCCCCAAATCGGGTTTAGGGTTAGGGTTTAGGGTTTAGGGTTTAGGGTTTAGGGTAACATCATTAATATTACTACACTCTTGGAAACTAACATGGAAACCCAAAAAGGGCCCAACGAAGACTACAGTTCCTCTAAAATGGGGCTATATGGGTTTCCATGTTAGTTTCCAGGAGTATATTACTAGTACTACTATTATTTTTATTGCCACTATTACTAATATGTTTATTACTGCTTTTCTTGCTATGATTACTATTAGTATGATCATTACTGAATTCATCCGCAGGCAAATCCTAAACTGCCCCAACTCGAAGGCCCCAACTCTCAATCCATGACCCCTGGACCCGAACCCTAAAACCTAAGCCCTCTAAACTCCCTAGACCCTGAACCCCAAATCCTAAACCCTAAATAAACTTCCTCGGGAAAGGCCCAGCAGCTTTGGTTCCGTATTCTGGAAGCACAGATGGAGACTGGCACCCCATACATGCTGTACAAGGACCTGGGTTTAGGGTTTTGAGTTTTGGGTTCAGGATTTTGGGGATCATTCGGCCAAACTGAAAAGGAAATTGGAAGCTACTGCATATCATTCAGGTCTTAGCATCGCGCCGTCTATTGAATTCACTTGAGGTTGAAGGTTTGGAGGTTCAGGGTTTGGGGTTGAAGGCAAGATTTGGAGTCTTAATTCCGTGTTAGAATGGGGCTGCTTTGGTATCAAAGCTTGTGGTTGGGGTAGCTTAGCTTTGCAGTCTTACGCCCAGAGACTGAAAATGCCAAACAGTTTCCCGCCACTCTCCTTGACGGAAGCTGTTTTGTTGAGATATTCTCTACAATCTCAGACACATTGCTACATTCAGGACTCCGAAGACGAAAAAGTAGATTCCTGCTTCAGCAACGGAAGAAACTCGGAGCAGGGCAGCAAATTCAGAGTTTCGTGAGCCCCAAACTGTACGTTGGCTTCTGCACATACGAGTTGCAAGCTGCAAGCACTCATCCACTGGAATCCTCAGGTACCACCTCCTGAAAGAAGCTTAGGTCCTAAGCACACGCTTGGGCAAAAAGTCCATATCCCAGGATATAACCCTGATCTACAGACCGCTAGGCCGAGAATCCTAAAAGCTGTGCTTTACATGCCGTACCGGTATTTCCAAACGTGCGGTCCTCCTTCCACACCCCCAAACAGTACACTCCCTGTTAATTATAGGCACTCCCAAGAACAGACCATGACGTTTTGGACCCCGAAGTCTGATGATTGACTGCACCCGAGAAGCCGCTCGTCGCAGAATCACGGGCAGCTATAACTAGCAGTCCTTAAGGCTTATGCTGTATTGGGGTCTTTTTCGGGCAATGGAGGCTCTTATAACACAAGCCTGCATCTCCCGCCACAAGTAACTCCCAGTAATTGCAGCTCGCATATCTCCGAATTGACAGCGTCAAAAGGATGCCGCAAACTCCAAGTCCAACCAGCAGAACCTGGGCACCATTCACAGTGTCTCAGCTATGATTTCGAGACTTGAGGGTCATGGGTGTGGAATTTAGGGCTTGGGGTGTTCGAGGAGGCTGAGATACCGTCCCACTACTGTAAGCTGACATGAGCTATAGTCTAAA